TCCCAGCAGAGGCAGAGGCAGGTGCTCTCTGAGTTTGAGGCCAGCCTGGTCTACAGAGTGAGTTCCAGGACAGCCAGGGCTACACAGAGAAACTCTGTCTAGAAAATAAATAAATAAATAAATAAACAAACATTAAGGAAAAGGAAGCAGAGAAGAAGGATGATGAAGAAAAAGAAAAAATGACAATTAAAAAAAGAGTGGTATTGTTTCATCATATAAAATGACTAACATGGCAATTGTATTGACATTATTACTTCTGGTTAGATTAATATTAATTATCACTAAAGGCTACTTGTGATGGGCCAGGCCTCAATCTGCATGTATTATTATCATTAATTTCCACCAAAATCCAGAAAGGCTGGCTTTATTAGATTATTATCTGTTTTATAATCCCTATGTTGCAAGATGAAGAGACTGAGGCATGGAGAGTCATGTGCCCGACAGCAGAAAACTCATAAAAGTGTCCCAAAGAGCGATCCTACAGGCCCCAGAGTCTGGGCTCCCAAACTCTCTGCTTTACACATGCGTGTGCTGGCTGCACAGGCTGCCAAGAAGCTGGACACCGCCCCTCACTTTCCCTGTGAGCATCACCTTTCCTACCTCGTCCTTTCTCCCTCCCAGGAGGAGACCTTGCTTCTCCTGAGCCCTTGGCAAGCCACCGTCTTTGTACCAATCGTTCTCTGTGAGTCTGACCAGCCCTGAAAGGATAAAAGTTCTTCATAGCAAGGGCCCCACCTGCCTTCTTCCACCACCACCTGATACTGAGCACAGTACTGGGTACCACACACTTTTAAATGGGTGAGGAAAAGGAATTTTCTAAGTCCCTGGGAAGAGCATTACAGAGGGGCCAGAAAAATCCTCGTCATGATCCAGCACATATCCATCCGGGCATTCCCACTCACCGGCATCTTGTGGACCAGAACCACAAGGGCAAGGAATTCTGGGTCAGTTGATCAGCCAGTGGCACTTGTAGACCTGGCAGGGAAAGGAGTAGAGTGCACAGTGGTCACACTCATTTTCTTAAGGACCAATGTTCAAAAGTCTGTGGGGTGGCTCACATCTGTAATCTGAGCCCCGAGAGGTTCAAGTCAGTGTGTACTACACTGTGAGACCCTATCTCAAAATAAACAAACCAAAACCAACATGGAAATCTCTAAGGATGCAAAAGGCTAAGGGACAGACACTGGGTCCCACAAATAAAATGAAAAAGGCCCCAGGAGAAAGATGAACAACTTTCTCAGCGTTCCCTGGCAACCACACCAAGAATCTAGAAGTCCAAATTTGGACACTCTTCTACATCCGAGCAAACAGGATACAAGCTCATGGCTTGACCTCGACTCAGCAGAGGTCACTAATTATCTGGAGGACCGAGGACATTGTTAATAAGTAACTATTTGACATTACTGCTTGGACCAGAAATCCACTGTATAATTACAACAAAACCCCCCTTCTTTGGTGCAAGTTAAGCGAAACTGTGGGAAACACCACACTTCCTATTTACTCACCTTGACGTCCCCACTTAAAAACATCAATTTTCTTGGAGTGCACGTGGCTTGGGTGTGGCCCGTGAATGTCATCCACAGTGGTTCTGCAGTGCCTACTCAATGGTAAGCCAGAAAGTCTAGACTCAGACGGTAGCTGAGACGCACCATTAAGGAGCAATTACATTTCTGACACATAATATATCTAAAACACTGATGGGTGAAGGAGCGGTCAAACGCTACTGCCTGGCAGCCAGAGGCACTTTGAAGTGCTGGGAAATGTGCTCCGTGTTAAATGTGCTGTTCCTTGAAAAGTAGGTCTTCTCTCGGAGATAAAATGCTTTTTCCTAAGAGAAGGGCTGAGGAGAAAACAAACTCCCCAGGTAGTAAGTCAGGAGCAGAGTTATTGCAATGCAATCATTTCACGGAAGTCACAAGTTGGCCAAAGTCTCTGTACCTCAACCACAGTCAAGCATGTGCCAGGACCTAAGCAGAGAAGGCTTTGGCCCATAAAGAAGACTAAAAGAACTACTCCCAGAGAGCTCAGGGTCTGTCAGCAAACATCCAAAAGTAGTACTGTCATGGCGACAGGCACCAAGGTTACTGCTGAAGATGGTCAGTCAGACAACCAGAGGCAGAATGTTAGATTACATTTGGAAATGACAAGGCTAGACCCATCAAAGGTCAGCTGAAAATTATCGGTTCCCCAGTCCTTGCCCAGGACTCTGGAGTGTGGGAATTAAGCATGGGGAAGGAGACTTTGAGAAAAGAAAACAAACTTTTGTAGGTAAGACGTTTTTGTTTGGTGTTTGTTTATTTGTTTTTGAGTTAGGGCTTCTCCGTGTAGACCTGGCTGTCCTAGAACTCACTCTGTAGACCAGGCTGGCTTTGAACTCAAATTCTTCTGCCTTTGCCTCTGGGGTGCTGTGATTAAAGGCTTGCACCACCACCGCCCCAGGGTAGATAAGTAATATTAAGAACTTTAGAAGCCCTGAGGGCAGACAACACTGTCTCTGCGAGACAAAGATGGGTGACTTTGCATTGCATCCAATACCTACTGCTGGCTGTAAAAACAACTCATATATGCAGCCTAGGAACAATAAGAAAATAAAAGGAGAGAATAATTGGTCATGACTAACAAAAAGGATAGGACCCCCTCCTTAAAGGGCAAAATCAGTAATGGTCAAGGCAGGAATGCAGTAAGATTACAAGCAGGACTGTGGCTGAATAAAGCGCACATCCGCCTTTCTATCTGTCTGTCTCTCTCGTTTTGTGGATTGCTTTTCAGAGACATGGTCTCAGCATGTGGTCTAGACTGACCCTGAACTCGTGCTCCTCGGGGCCCTGCCAACAAATTTCTGTGCTACACTGTGCACTACTACACACGCCCTTTCCAGAAAAGCTGGAAAGTTCCTGTGTCAACTCTCCCAGTTTGAAACTTGTGTTTTGAGTTTGTAGAAAAGTATGCCCAGTTCTCAGCTGCAGCAGCAGCAGCAGCAGCAGCTTAAAGGGGCAGTGTAGAGAAATCTTGTACTGGTTGTTGCGGTAGGCCTGAGAGAAAATGAACACAGGACTGAGTAAAACCAAATACAGCAATACGGCAACCAAACCAACATTGAAACACAACTCCAGAGGTCGGCGGCAGTACAATGCCTGCTCACATCTGCTCGGCACATGAGTACCTAAAGCCCTTTCCCTGGATGGGGAGGCTCTGAGCATTTCAGCGACATCCCCAAGGCCCACTGCTGCAGCATCATAGCTCAGTCCTAACATCTGTACCATCCAGAACCTCAGAACTACAGCCTCCATCACCTTAAAAAGTACAGTCGTCCCCCATCATCTACAAAGAGTGCATTCCTACACTGCCAGTGAATGCCTCAATCTACAAAGAGTGATGAACTTTATGTACTCCTTGTTTTTTTTTCTACATACACATAATCTGTCATATTAGTTTCTTTTCCTGTTGCTACAATATAGCACCATATGGAAGGAAGGATTTATTCTACAACCCACCATGATGGGAATGTCAAGGCAGCAGGAAGATGAAGAAGAAGCTGACTACATTGTATCCACACAGATACAGGACAGGAAGAGAGAGTGATGAATGCAGGCCACTGCTCAGCTCCCATTTTGTTTACACAGCTTAGGATCCCAGCCAGGGAATGGTGCCACCCACAGTGGGCAGATCTGCTTACCTCAATTAAGACAATCGAGGTTATGCCTCACAAATATGCCCAGAGGCACATCTCCCAGGGGATTCTAGATTCTGTCGAGTTCACAACACCAACCCCACACCTAAGACAGTTTAATTATAAAGTGAACAAAGAGACTGACAAAAATAGAATAATAACATACTCTGTTAAAGATTTGTAGTCAGTGTTCATTATTAGGTAAAATAAGGGTCACTTGAACACTAGCCCTACAATACAGTAACAATGGATCTGATCCCTTTGACAGCTGCTCAGGCACTAACAGGCAGGTAGTGCGTACGAGGGGAGCACACTGCACAAAAGCATGATTCACCCAAGCAGCAAATCACAGAACAGCATAGACTTCATGATATATCAGAACAGGATATAATTTAAACATGAATTGTTTCTTTGGGGAATTTCCCATTTAACATTTTCATAGTAGCTGTAGTTAACTGAAACCAAAAACATTATCAGGAGTAAGGGATAACAGCAGACAGATTCCAGGGCCCATTCCTGGGTTTTGATACATTAACCCTGAGGTTTGGAACTGGTTTATGCCAGATGACTCCGGTATACACTAGCATTGATAACATAGGGCTAGACAAGCATTCTCAACCAAAGTGACAGTCTCTTGTTTCCCTAGGAGACAGTCAGCATGAATGGATTGTTACCACTGTGGGGCTCAGGGCAGAGGACACCATGATTATCTATTAGACAAAGGCCATCTCACAGCATCACAAGAACTCTGCAGCTCAAAATGTCAGTAGAGCCAAGGAGGAGAAACCTTGCTTCAAACCCTAGTATCTGGGCACAAACACTATATTCTGAGATGCTACATGATCAATAGCACCCTGGAGTGGGGTAGACCCAATGGATCCACAGATTGTAGTTTCATGGGATTTCCTCGTGACCCTGCTATGTAGCAATTTCTTATGAATTAAAACATCCCACCAAGGTGAGGGGCTCACCAAGACTCAAGAAATAAGCAACTCCCAAGTTTAGGAAGTTACTGAAACTCATTAGATTCACAAGCCCCAGCCACCCCAACAAACTTAGATTACCAAGGAAGACCGCTAAACATCAAAGACAATCCAGCCTGTCCATCTGCCTGAATGTCATGCAGAGAGATCCAGAGTTCCCCACGCTGGGCTAGGCTCTTGGCAATATCACTGCCTTTGAGTCTTCCATGCTGTCAGTAACCACAAAAAGCTCATTGGTTCAGCTGAGCGATGGTGGCACACACTTTCAATCCTAGCACTCGGGAGGCAGAGGCAGGTGCATCTTTATAAGTTCGAAGCCAGCTTAGTCTACAAGAGCTAGTTCCAGGAGAGGCTCCAAAGCTACAGAGAAACCCTGTCTCGGGGGGGGGGGGGGGGGGGGGGGGGGGGGGGGGGGGGGGGGGGGGGGGGGGGGGGGGGGGGGGAGAAGGACACTCACTGGTTCAATGTTTGAACTTTGGAGGCATCATTACTTTGCTCTGTCCCTGGTTCCCTATGTGGTGTGAAGACACATCTGTGCACATTTCCCAGGTATAGTACCACACAACAGATTTGTGAGCACTTTGGCCATCCTGGATGACACTTTGGAGTAGGTCAGTTTTACAAGATTTGTAGACAGCAAAAGTGAAGTCCAGAACAACTGAGAAGATAGTACACTGTGATCAGAGTCTCTCAAGGCAGAGCCTCAGTCAGATTCCCAACCTCAAGTCCCCAGCCTGTGTGGTCTCCCCAGTGCCAGTAAAGGCTAAAAGTGGGCTCGGGTAACAACTCTGCATTAAAACTGACCTTTGGGAAGTGGTGTGTGTATGTGTGTGTGTGTGTGTAAAAGGTCATCCTGTGAGGGTTTTTCTGAGGCCTAAAAGACATCTATTATCTTGCTGGTAGGTGAATTTTTAAAAAATAATTTTAAATACCACCCATTAATTTTGTCTGTAGATATCCCAAGTAAAATAGTCCAAGGGCTCCAAGGGGAGGAGGAAGACAACTGCCTGATGCTTCAGAGTTCTCCAAACGCCTGCCAAAGTTGACTTGGTCTCCCAGAGACACCGGGAGAGGACGATGAGTCACTTCCAAAGGATTTCTGAAGCATTCAACAGCAAATATGAAAGAGTTTACCCTGAGAAGCTGCGCTGCTGAGGTCAGGAGCAGGTTGTGACAGGGTCGGAAGCCGCTCAGAGCAGGTTAATACAGACACATTTCAGAGCCAGGGGTAGGATTGCGTCCCAGTTCTGCGCAAGGAGAAACAACCTTTGGCTATTGTTGCAGGCTCTGCTTGATCTGACGCATATCCCAACGGTCCAAACAGACGACGGCACCCAACACAGTCCTTTCTTTAATCTTCAAATTTGCAAGCAACCCAGCTCCTTCCACAAAACCAAGAACTCAGCCAGTGTCAAGTTCTCAGGGAGACATTGCAATGGTGCTCTAGGACCAGATGAAGGACTTTTTCAGTAATTGTGTGCTCTGTGCCATTTGAAAAAAAACAACAACCCAGCAAGGTTGGGAAAAAAAGCTCTGTAAAGTAAGAAGAGAAGTGAGAGGAGGAGGCATTGCTGATGCGCGCGAGAGAACCTGAGTGTACCCGTGAGGTTCTTCTCCTGATACCTCAGGACCGAGAAGGGAGCTTGGGAGAACAGAGAAAGGCATGAGAAACACGTAATCACACGCAGAGTATACGGCACATGTAGTTACGCTGGACAGCAGCGGGGCACGTGTTTGCCAGGTCCTTCCATAGACCACAGGCAAGAGGAAGAGGCTTCTGGAGAGTTCTCCATTCTCCACTAACCTTCTAGGCTACCTCGCCAAACTGGGTTCTCCAGAGGGGGAGCAGTGGCTGCTGAAACTGGCTGAACATGACCATGAACGTCTGATTTTTATAAAAATGTCATGCATTGTCTGCTACGGAAATGTAAGGCTTGGATAGGGAGATCTACGTATATATGTAGATCTCCCCCCTCTCTCTTTATATATACATATACATACATTTATATACTATATAAAAACGTCTTAAATTCTAGAATATGTTACAGTTAAGAATACTGCAGTTTTTTTTTAAAGCCAGCTTCTATTTAATAGAGTGTTTAAATTCCTCGTTAATGGTAATTAGAGAGCAAGCAGCATTTCTTTAACTGCTGCTAGACAGAACTTAATCCAATTTGGTAATCACTAACCTCTGGGCTTTTTCCCCCCTCTTTCTCTCTCTCCTAAATGAAACCCAAGCATTGATCTACAAAGGCTATAAACTGGCAAAGCATAAGAAAAGAATATTTAAAGAGCGAATGAGTGACTGTTAGCTCACAGGGCCAAGTCCAATTAAAATGGAAACAGGTCTCACGGGCTCCCTTACATCTACAGCCTCTACGCTGGCTCAGAATAACAAAAGGCACTCCCAGGAGGTGGGGGACTTACTTTCCCACTGCTCCCCCTCTGAGAACTGCATTCAGTATGTCATTCACCAAGTCTTCTTATTTGGCTCCGTGACCGAGGGCCACTCCTTCCCAAACCAGCATAGCATTATTCTCTATATTGACTCTATATCCCTTTCCTTCCACGGGCCTATCCCCCTGAGGCCACTGAGTACTACAACCGCCTCTTCCCCCACTGGAGATTCCCCGTGTAGCTGGAACACTGACTTCTGATTCGGAAACTTCCGTGTAAACCACTACAACCATCTTGAGAACTTGGGAGTCTGCCAAAATGTCAATTATCTCAAGCTGATCTCTGATGGTTTGTCACTGCTTGTGCCAGCTACGTCCCCACTCCCCTTCTTGACTACAGTGTGGCTTCTTCCTTTATACAAGCAAGGCCTTCTGCTTACCAGGGTACCCCGAATCCTGGACAGGGCACACAAAACATCTTCCCTTCAAATCTCAGTGACTGAGGTATTAATTCTCTCTGCTCTGTAAGGAAATGAGTATTATCTCTAACGTGTTTACAGCTTGCATAGAGGCAGGTAGCTCTACAAACCAAGCCCTTCGAAGACTCAGGCATTGTAAGAATTCCCTCACAGAGATGCACATGCTAGCCCTCAAATCAATCCTATGCTGGCCTGGTTCTGCAAAAAGGACTAAAGAGAGAAAGTCCACAATTCAGAAAAGGCTTTGCATTCGTTTCACCTGGTACAAGGGCTGTTTCACAGGCACGTACACCCGTATGACCAGGACAGAGGGACGTGAACACAGCTGAAGGTTCACAAGTTGTACCTTCTCCCGATGTGTGGATTAAATGTTGAACATGCACTAAAGTTAATGAGTAAGCTGAGAATAGAACATTCAGGTAAGTTCTCTCGGTGGAGTTCTCAGGGAGACATTGCAATGGTGCTCTAGGACCAGATGAAGTACTTTTTCAGTAATTGTGTGCTCTATGCCATTTGAAAAAAACAACAACCCAGCATGTGGGCCGGGGAACAGCTCTATTGCCACACAAGCCTGAGGAGCCAAATGTGGATTCCCAGAACTCGTGTAAAAAGCCAGACCTGAAGGCTTGCTTGCACTGGGGCAGCTGTGCAGAGGGAGATCCCACGGGCTTGCTGGCCAGCCAATTAGCAAAATCAGTGAGAAAGCCTGATTCAAAACACAAAATAGGAATCAGCTGAGGAAGACACTGACTGACACACACACACAATTCAATATGTATATACATACCGACATAACACATGACACACACAGACACACAAATATAACTAAATGATGATCTAGTGAACATCTGGGGAATCCCACAGAAGGGGAAGACATCTTGGGTGCCCAAACCTAATCTAGTTTTCACCGTTTTCAGAAGGAGACAGGTGTTTATTTGGGAGACAGGGTTTCTTTGTTTAACAGCCCTGGCTGGCCTCGAACTCATAGAGATCCGCCTGCCTCTGCCTCCCGAGTGCTGGGAAGTGCTGGGATTAAAGGCGTGCGCCACCGCTGCCTGGCAAGAAGCAGGTTTTTCTTAACGTTTCAGCATTAAAGATAACTGCTAAAATTATACACATTGAAATAAATAC